TTCTTCCAAAACGGTACAACGCGAGAGGAGACGACGCGATGTTACCGGAGATTCGTTACGAAGATTTTCGTGTTGGATCTCAGTTCTTCGTTCTTGCGAAACGTCATGCTTTGGTTGTGATCAAAGAGAGGAAACTATGGAGGAAGTTCAGATTACCGTGCGTTGATACAGAGTCTTGTTACCCTGAAGAACACTATTTCCCGACTTTGTTTTCTCTTGAGGATCCTAAAGGTTATAGCCACTTCACGCTTACTCGTGTTGACTGGACCGGAAGCGTCGGTGGTCATCCTCACACGTACGGTGCTTCTGAGGTTTCGCCTCAGCTGATTCACTCGTTGAGGAGATCTACTTTTTTGCGAGAAAATTCTCGCCGGATTCATTGCATGCAACCATTGATGGAGATAGCTGATGCTGTGATCTTCAGGGATTGAGAAATCAGTGAACAAAGTAAATTTAGGTGAATTGAAAACCATCCCTGAAAATCTTGATTGGAAAATTTGCGAGAAAATTGTGGCTAATTATCTTCTTTCTTGTGTTGTTTTTCTTTAGGTTTCAGGTTACAGGAAGGTTTAGAAAAAGTTTGTGTTGGCGCTCGAAGAAGAGTGTGTAACAAATAAAGAAGATGAAACTCTCTGTGTGTGTTTCGTTTTCAATCATCAACCCTTATGAATCCAAAAGGGTGTGATTTTATGTGGAAAATGGGTGTAAACAAAAATGTATATAGTCCTCAAAAAGCCAAATCGGCTTTTGCTTTGTGTATCTGTCTTTCTACGGGAGAGAGAGAATGGTAAAAAAAAAAAAAAAACCTTCTCTCTCTTTGTTTTCATAGAAGTGTGAATGAAGAAATCTATGTTATTCAAGTGTTTTTTTTTTTACTGTTTGATCGAGGTTGGGTTCACTGACTGGCTCTTGTAGTGTCTCTAACGCAGTAACGGGTACGTTTAACAATAACAAAACACCAACTTAACTTGAAAAGACTTCTGTTTTTGGCAAAATGAACAGAGTTTCAGACTGATATTAGATGGGTTCGTGGGAGGTTTGAAGTTATCAATGTAATGGAAGCTTCCAACAATCCCTTCTAAGCTTCCAAATCAGCATCAATTTCATTCACGCTAATTTCAATAAAGCATGATTTTACAATAGGATTGTTCAAGTGTCTACCTTTAATGTTTTTTTTTTAAGAGAACCTCTTAACTTGAGCTTACTCTGTTCTAACTTCTATGTACCC